GACGCAATACTGCAACCGTCTGTACAAAGATCACAGAGAAGTTGACAGGATGGTGCACAAACCCGAGGAAAGCCCACCCACGAAGATTGAGAATCCCCAACATATCCTATACTCCGAAGTAGATGAAGCAAGAAAGACATGAAAAAGGAACCAAAGTCCTGGTTCAGATGGAATCACAGTGAAAATGCTACACGCTAGATGTGAACAGTTAGCACAACAAATTCACAAACTCTGTAACAAATCATGGCATGATTGAATGATCCCAGGAGAATAGGACAAACTCATCCGAGTATGAATATCAACAAAGGGAGATCTCATTGAATGCGCGAACTACCAAACAATATCACCTACCAATCGCACAAGAAAAATACTACTGATCCTGCTGCTGAACAGATTCAAAAAACAACTCGAGCCCCACCTCTCGGAAGAACAGACAGGATTTTGGAAAGATAGAAGTGCCTTACACCAAGTCCCAACACTCAGGCTAATAGGAGAAAAAACAAAAACAAGCAAAGAAAATATCCAACTGCTTCGTAGGCCTCCAAGAAGAATTCGACACAAGCAAACATAAAATCATATGGGTGGTGCTAAAATCATACGGCATAGAAACAAAGATGGTCACTCTGCTACAAAATATTACGAAGAGGCACAATAGTTGGTCCGAACCAGCAAGAACCTTGCGGATTAGTTCCAAATAGTTGTATAGGAACCAGCCAAGAAGATTCTCTGTCATGACTACTCTTCATTGCATAGCTCGAACGAGTGATGAATCACTCGAAACAAAATACTAGTGAGATCGGCATCAGTAAAACACTCGTAAACAACCTAAGAATTACAGATGATACTTATTTAATAGACGAAGATTGTGGTTCCCAGCAAACACAAATCGTGTTGACAAGAATAGCCACCAAACAAGCAGACCTCATCGTTAACACAACGAAATCCAAGACAATAGTATTCTGAGACAGAACGACACAGCAAAAGAATACAGACAGCAAGAAAAAGCATAGAAAGCGTTGACAAATTAGAATACCTAGGTAGTCTACTAACATGTGACTACAACTTTTCTGAAGAAATCAAAATAATAACTGGCAAAGTAACAGAAACATTGACATTGCTGAAACACATATGGGGCGGCAAGTAAACTCAAGTTGTTGATAGTATCCATCTTCAGTGCGCTGCTATACCCAACAGAAACATGAATCCTACAAGAGACTGACAAAAAGAAATTCCTCGCATTCGAGATTAAATGCTAGCTACTGACGGATACTAAGAATTAGTTGGAAAGTCATGGTGCAAAATGAAGACATAAGGAAGAAGATATTTAAGGAGGAAACTATAATCGATATAATAAGGAAACATAAACTGAGATTATTCGGGCACATCTCTTAAGTGAGGGATAATAGGGTGACCAAACACATGGTGTTCACAAAAACGGATGTAGAACCCCGAAGAGGAGATTCTGTCAGGGAAGGGTTGAACAGCATTATAGAATGGTCTGGAAGCAGCAGAGAATACCTATTAAATCAAGCACAAGACCGACGGATATGGAAGAAATTAATCCGAACAGTGGTTGGTCCCAACGGGCGATAAGCCTACGGGACATTGTGACTCATGATGAACAATAAATGAGGCACTGAAAAATGCGGCTTATTTTTTAACATAGCTGAGGATTCTACTAGGAAAAGTGTTGAAAATAAAACAATGTGTCTAATTTTTGCTTCAAAATAGGCAATGCCAATGACATTTTCAGAATGTTCTTTCTGTCGTGATCTTCAGCATGAAAATGCATGCAGTTAGAATGTGTCGGGTTCTGCCTGTCAATGAGTCCTTCACTGTTTTGTGATGCATGCACAACTGCTTATAAACAACATGATTGAACATAGGAAACATACATTTTTAAAATAATGTTGTTAAAACTATTTCTCGATTAGTGATTATTCGAGAACATGCTCATCTCCATCGTTGATCGAGATAGGACTATCCTAAGGTGATCTGACGGTGCTCGAACCAACTCAAAGTCAATCAGATCCCAAGATCAGACTTGCTTGAGTTATTCAGAATTGCAATAATTAAATAGAAATACATTGAAAAAAATATCGCAACATGCTTTTACAGAAAAAGAAGAAAAATGCGCTCTATCGTAGGTTCGAACCACGTTTTCAGAATGTGTCGCTTGCGTTATGTAAGAATGTATCGTGCTCTTCTTGGAAAATGTGTCGCAACGAGCAACTCGTGCCGTACTTTGATGTGTCACAAACCGCGACAAATGCGACACATTTTAGCTTAATGTGAGTGCCATTGTGCCAACGGTTTCCAATTTTCGAAAACACGTTCTTGTAATTATTTAAAATAAATTTTTCATTTTTTGGGAACCCTTCCTCAACCGTTCTTTTCGGTTGTATTTTTCACTAGATATTGAGTCAAAAATTACAGAAAAATAAGGAAATCTATAAAATCTTCTGAAATATCTTGTATAATGTACTGATTCCTCTTTTTAGGAGTAATACCTATTAATTTCAAAATCCAATGTTCGTACTATTATTGGGTTGGAAAGAAAGTTTTTGCGTTTTTTTCGAAAATTTTATTTTTAGTTTTTAACTTCAAGAATACAACTAGCTTTCAACAACGTATGCTTCATTAGAATCTATGACTTGTTGCCAACGCTCTGGCAGAGAACAGATCCCACGTTCGTAGAAGTCTTGAGACTTTTGGCCGAAGAAGTCGACGAGATTCATTTTGAGGTGATTCTCGTCGTCGAATTTTTTTTCACATAAACGGTTAGACAGAGAACGGTACAAGTGGTAGTCCGTAGGAGCCGCATCTGGAGAATAAGGTGGATGTGGAACCGTAACTCATCCTAGCCTGAATATTTTTTCACGCATCGACTTTACACTTTGAAGTCTGGTGTTGTCATGCAAAGAATTAATTTTATCCTGCTTCCCCTGAAGTTTTTCTGCAACTCGATCCATTTGTCGGCAATAAAGATTAGCAGTGATAGTGCAACCAGTTGGCAGTAGTTCCCAATGAATAATTCATTTTACTCCCCACCAAACGTTCAGCATGATCTTCTTTGGGTGGAAGTCAGTTTTGGGAGTTGGTACACCTGTTTGTCCAGTTCCCAGCCACTGTCACTTACGCGTATGGTTAACATGCAACACCCACTTTTCATCGCCAGTAATAAGATTGTGTAGCCATTGGCAGTTGCGATGAGACATCACTAATTCCATACAAGCGCCAATCCTGTGGTGGGGCTGATGTGGTGACAATTCATGTGGTATCCAAACTCCATATTTCCACATTTTGCCTAATTCGCCCAGATCTGTTTCCATTGTAGTATGAGAGCACCTAAGTCGCTCTGCTAAACACCGTGCAGTCAATCTAGGATTTTATTCGATAAGCTGCTTCAAAGCATCCATATCCACTTCTAGTGATCTTCCGGTATGAGATAAATCGTCGAGTTCGAAGTTATCGTTCTTGAACCGATTGAACCAATGTTGCGCTTGACTAATTGGGCGTGCATCCTTGCCCATCGTGCTGCATATGTTGCTTGTTGCTTCCGTTACTTTGTGAGTCAAACGCAATTCATGAAGCAGTAGCATTCGAAGCTCTTTACAAGATATGTTCATTTCTAATTCGAGATCAAAGGCCGTATTCACATTATTTTTTATTGTTCAAAAGATATTCGTAACCCTTTTATATACCCTTAGTATGGAAACTTCTAGAACTTTCTCGACTGTTCTAGGAAATTTTCAAAAAAAAACGCGAAAACTTTCTTGCCAACCCAATACTATTGCATAATCAAAAAATGAATTGATCGAAATAATCATTTGTTGAACTGAATGATGTGTGAAAGTTGAAAGGAAATTGACTTTCTGAAATAAGTGAAATTTACCTGATATCGATGATATGTATCAATAATTATATTCAGTCGTGTACATACATTACGAACTGAACAAAAAATTGAGAAGTCATCGAGATTGTCAAGAATACAATAGGCAAGCTCGACGGGCAATCTCAAAAGAAATGATGGATCTTGATCAGCTGAAAATGTCGTTTGCATTAGATCATTATGCATCGTTCAAATGAAAGTCTGCGTAAATATTTTTTCTTTGATAGTTATTTATTTATTGACAATGCATCGCCAACCTTCATCATCATTGTGCAATTTTTTGTTGAAACGGAATTGAAAAAACTGCACTGCAATCAATACAATGACAAAATAAATCCATTAAANTGAAGAAAACGACATCCTTCGAGTATTTCGTATTTTTCGATCGGAAGGAAGCATTTACTGAGGCTAAAATGTAGATTTTCGTGATCAGCAGCTCAAGCTCTATCAGATGATGTAAAAAAAAGGCAAAAAAAAATTTTTACTTGAAGTTTGACCTGCCCGCACCTTACATTGCAACCTGCTATGGATGCGTAAGACTTTGATGTCATAAAAGTGGGTTAGAACTGTAAATCATAAAACATACATTTTAAATTGATAAGACGTCCATAACATGTTATAATGTGTAGTTTTTGTTTTAAAATGCTTTGAAGTTTTGAAAAGTTTCGTTTTTTATTGATTTTGTTTATCCCGGGAAGTGATCATATGCTAAATAATAATTTTATTATTACTCTCTCATATGTACGTAAGAACCTAAGTGTCGTTTATTTATTCTTTTTTGCTAAGTGCTTTATATCATGGACTTTAGCAATGGAATTTCTAGTTGCTTCTTGAAGAGTAGTAGATATCTTTTGTTACACATAAGTATTTGTGATTCGTATTTTCAAGAGGTTTTCTTAAATTCCTAATTTCTTGCTACATATATAGAAATATTCTGTTTTTTTTCGTCAATTCCCTTATATCGTTTCACAGAGTAGCCGGATGTTCGCCAATAGGACTTTCGTAAATTGGACTTTCGCCAATGGCGAACGTCCACTGATCTTTCGCCAAAATACCTTCTGTACTTTCGCCAATACATCCCTGTACTTTCGCCAATTGGAGAAATTTTATGTGGCGATTTATACAATGCTTGAAAGAAGAGGAGAGTGTTGTATCTCATAGAATGGTTCAAACTGGTTTAGGTTTTTCTTCAACTAGACCATCAAAAACAACACGTGCGGCAGCACGTAAAACTAAACAAGTTGGGAAACTATTGAATTTATTACAGTTAAATAAGAGATCATTGATTGATACAATAATGTCATTTGCATATCTAGTTGGTGAACCAGTTGCCCGCGGAAGAAAAGGAAAGAAAAATAAAAATAACATTTCAAAATCTGATTCATCATCACCATCAAGTTCAATAATAGATTCTGACTAAAACATTCTTATTTTATTCTTCGTTTATCTTTTTCTAGCGTTCCTTATATTAGTTATTTTATTCTTGGTTATTCCAGCACACTTTCATATGATATTTTCTATTATTCACTATATATTCCAGCATCTTATTTTTCAAAATTTGATGTACCCATATTTGAACATATTCTTACTGCACATATGTAAGTGCGTTTTAATAATCTCACTTGACTTTTGCCAATATTGGCGAAAGTTCACAGGATTCTCATCAATTTATTTCTGGACATTCGCCAATTGGCCAAAGTTTAGTGGAATTTCGCCAATATACGCATTTGACTTTCGCCAATAATTGCCGAAAGTCTTATTGGCGAAGATCCGATATCCCGTTTCACATAGCTTTTCTAAGTTGAGTTCTTATAACTTTTTTGTTGATTCGGTGAAAATTTTTAATTTAGCAGAATGGTTGACACAAATGATATCAATCATTTTTATCACTTTGAAACACTTTGCTGTTAGTTGACATTATCACCATTCACCAGTTATAAAAGAAACAAATAAGAAACAAACAGAAGAAAGTTAAAAGGGAACATTGAAAGAGAACAAGACTACAAGATAAACTATATCTATATAATATTCCCTTGTAACTATTCATTTTAGTTTATTTATTTATTTCGTTTATGATTGATGATATTTTGATTGAAAAAAATACGTCTCAACACAACTAATTGTAGCAGTGTCAATTGTTGTCGTATTTTTATTACTCTTTTTTATTTGTGTGAGACATTCCTCTGTTCACCTCTATTTTAACAAAACATTTATTTGTCTTCCAAATAGCGGCATTAAACTTTCAAGTTCGGAACGATTTATTACGGTCTTGATGAGAGTTTTTTTCGAACTAAACTGTAGTTTTTTTGATGTTAAATAGCTAGTGAGAGTGTCTTCTATTTCATGTTAAATTCTAGTATAGTCTCAGGTTAGATTTATTTCTACAGAAAGTGTTGAGAATCAATCTCACTACAATAGCCAAGAATATTATAACAGTAACGAGACATATTTTTAGTTAATGAGTTGTGTTCAAACATGAGGACAAGCGTTTAACGATTAGGCAGTACTTCGTTTAGATATTGAGTCGCAAATAGATTCTGTATTACTTACGAACTAATATTCATGGTTGACCGATTCTATTGCCGTAACTAAGTGCCTATATATAGAGGACTTCTAAAATAATCTGGTATTCAAAAGATTTCGATTAAGCTCCAAATAGTCTTTTAGATAATAGTCTTACACCTATTTTTCTGAATATAGACAGTTTTTGAAAAAAATAGAATTTCAAACCATAACTCTGTAGCTACAGTTAGACATTCAAAAATATCATTTTTTCAAAAATTACTTCTACAGAAGGATATGGGTATAAAGCTGTCATCTAGAATAATTATCTTAGACTAGTCTCATTCTTATAGATATCATATTATTTTAGCAGTCTCCTATGTATAGACACTTAATTATGGCAATACAGCTGGTCAATGATGAATATTAGTTCGATGAAATTTGGTGCTTATAAGTGCTTAATTACGTGATTATAAGCACTTTTCAGTCGCTTAAAATGTGCGCTTTTCAGTCCTTATACTTCTTGGAGTTTCAGCACTTGAAAGTGCTTAAACTTCCAAGAATAAGCACTGTTAAGCGCTGAACTATGTATATGTAAGCGCTTTTCGGCCAAAAATTTAAGCTAATTTCGGCGCGCGTTTTGGCTTAAATTTTCACATGACTAACTGCGCTAAAAATTTGGATTTAGATGTTTTAGATTATGCTGGACAAGATGAAAACACCAAATAAAAAATCTAAATTTTATCGGGTGCTCGGAATTTCTGATAGCATCATGGACACTCTCTTAAGTGATTAACTGGTTGATGTGAAGAAAATATTTTTGCATGTTGAGTTTTGTTAGAGAAAAGCTAGTTTAGGAATATACTTATGGTAATCGATATGAATTTTTAAGAGACAACTTGTGAGAAGACCAAAGAATGGAGGCACTATTCAAAATTTAATTTTTTCGGTTTGTTTTGTGCATCCTAAAGTTGATTATCTAAAACCGCTAAAACCAAGTTTTCAGTGCATTCGGATTTTCTGTATTAAATTTAGCATAGATCAAATTTTCAGGCTTACTTATCTTTACTATCGAGAAACATAGTCGTAAATCATCAAATACAATCAGTCCAAAAAGTATTCGGAAACCTAAGGCAATCGTCACATTCCCACGAAATCGATTTTGGTGTAGGAATAGTCAAACCTTATGAAATTTTTATGATCTGTTGAATTTATTGTGGAAAGACAATGATAAATTTTTCTGCGGTATACTATGAAGTATAAGAGAGATATTTAGCAAACAAGCGGCCAAAATTGCTTATCTGACAAAGAAAAAAATCTCTGATGACTTCCATTCTATGCATTTGATTTTTTTTATTTGGAAGAACAAATCAGATTGCTGCGCATGACAGAGTCTTTATTTTTAAACTCACACTTTTTAAACGGAGAAAACGAATGACAGTTAAATAACTGAGAAAGTTTCGAATCAATGGGGTTTCTTAGGTGGTAGTGCTTTCATTCTTTTTCTGTGCTTCAAAAAATGAGAGTTTCAAAATAAGAACTCTGTCATACCCTGCATTCTGATATGCTCTTTCAAAAAAAAACACCAAATGCATAGAGTGAAGGTTGCTAGAGAATTTTGGTTTGGTAAGTAAGCAATATTTGACGCTTGTTGGGTAAATCTCTCATACGTCATGGTTTAGTACTGAAAATTTTAACGTAGTATCTTTACGATAGCCTCAACGTATCCTGAAGTTTTCATGAGATTTGCCTGTTTTTGAACTAAAATCGACTTTGAGAAGGGTTAGAACTGCCATGAGTGTTCGCATACTTTTTGAACTGATTGTAAATGCCTACTAGAATCCTTTTTCTAACAAGTTAGAAAATATTTTCATGGCATATATCAATAAATATTGTTTGAAAACTGAGTGAAATGAGCTCTTTCGAACATTTTATTTCATCCATTCAGTTGGATTTTGTGTAGTTTAATATGTGCGGATTGCCCAAGGGGGAAACATGATACTTCATACTTTACATACTTTAAGATACTTCACCGTACTTTACGGTACTTTAATGTACTTTACCGTACTTCACCGTACTTTAAAGTACTTTGAGGTACTTTAAGATACTTTGAGATACTTTACCGTACTTTAAAGTACTTTAATATACTTTAAAATACTTTAACATACGTTAATGTAATTCGAGTTACTTCGATACACTTTCTTTTACTTTTGTATCGTTTTCAGTTAATCTTTTTACTGAAATCTAAATCTTACTAACCCAATAGAAGCTCTATAATCAGCAGATATAATACACAGTGCACTAATCAAGCTACTGATGGGACCCTTGAGCAATAGAAAAAATCTGTATCCTAGTTTCCAACGACATATTTTCTATTATTGATAACAATCAATCGAAAAGAAATCTTTATACAACAACCGTGTATTCCTATTAGAGCAAAACTAGGACAGGACAGCTACCTTTACGATACTAGTTATCAACTAATGGATAACTCACAAACTTGGCATCTCAATTTCTCAATAAGAAAAGGGTAATACGGGGAAATAACGTTTTTTGATAAAGTTTGATCGAAATTAAACAAGGTCGAGGAATGAAAATCTTTAATCGGTTTCTCAAAATTCCTCAACCCACTTTATCCTGAAGGAAAGGCTATTTCCACGATATACCGAATTTTTATTAAGTTTCACGAAAAATAATCGGGGTCGAGAAGTCGGTATCTCTGATCAGTTCCTTAAGAGGGAGGTTATGGTAAGTCCAAGGAGCCGATGCACGGATCAGAATTGGTTTTTGATATTTTATCTAATTACATTCGAGGTAGGAATGTACCAATTCCTCGAGTATGATATTAAAAATGACATTTTTTCTTTATTAAGAATCTAATTATCTGCGTATGTTGTATATCAGGCATGATCAGTTTTTTTTGCTCTATCCATAGCTAAAGTCGGAATTCATGAAACATAAAACAAAGGTTTCGAAATTGGTCTGGAATTGAGTGAAAATTCACATTCTTAATATTTTTTCGAGCAATTTCTGTCAAGCCCAACTAATTGTTATACCTGTGTTCTGTATTAGACAAAATTTCAGAATTGATTTGGAAAGAGTAGTCAAAACTGAACACAATTGGCATGAAGAATCGCTGTGGGTTCGAGAAATCTCAATACTGGAAATATTTGAAGCTCTGATTAGAAATTGAAGGAATTGTTTTTTTCTTGCTTATAAAAATACATATCCAGTATTGAGATCTCTGGAACTCACAGGGATTCTTCATGCGAATTTTGTTCAGTTTTGACTACTCTTTCCAAATCAATTCTGAAATTTAGTCTAATATAGAACACAGGTATAACAATTAGTTGGGCTTGACAGAAATTGCTCGAAAAAAAACTAAGAATGTGAATTTTCACTCAATTCCAGACCAATTTCGAAACCTTTGTTTTATGTTTCATGAATTCCGACTTTAGCTATGGATAGAGCAAAAAAAACTGATCATGCCTGATATAAAACATACGCAGATAATTAGATTCTTAATAAAGAAAAAATGTCATCTTTAATATCATACTCGAGGAATTGGTGCATTCCTACTTTGAAGGGCCTTCATCGAAAACTACCAAACAAAAATCTTCAATTTATTTAGATGCTCTTTAGTAAATTGAACTAGACAGACTTTTTAGCACAACCTTCCTAATAATGTCCACAAAACAGTGATTAATTGGGCCGCCAATGCTTACGAAGATTATACTTCAAGAAGTTAGACAGTTATTTCATGAAATATACCAAACGATAGAGTATGAAAGTTGAACAAAATGAGCTATATAAAATACTGTTTAGAATCTATTCAATGCAATTATATAGTCCCACATAAGTGGAGTAGATCTTAATCTATGAGCCCATAATGATAAGATTTGGCAGTATATCTACTGC